CAATCCTTGCTATCATACTGCTCACGTCTTTCTACTCGTTCCGTGCGTTGAACTTTGATTTCCACAGTTTTCGGCTTGTTGTCCTTAATCGCAATGCATTTGTTAATCCCTACCCACAAGTCGCAAGGTAGTCTGGGAGAGTCAACAAAAAAGGATAGGCCACAGCACCATTACGTCGTTCCCGGCTGCTGTTATCATCTAACAATAGGATTTGTAAGAAAGTACGCAGCGCACGTTGGTTGCTGATTTTGGCTAGTATAATACCATTTTTATTCCCCAGTGAACTGGCATAAATAGCTTAGCGGATTAAGAAAATACATACAAACAAACACAACTTACGGCCTTGCTGGAGTTTGAGTTCCTAGTCATACTTCCAAGTTGTGCGCTTGTTTCGCTCATTGGTGACAGATCGTCTGAAAATTTATGAACGTGAAAACCACTGAGATATATGTTCCTTTGATACATGAAAGGAAAAAGGACGAAGCATTTAGCAATCTTTCTTGGATGCGCCGTGCATCCTGTATTCATTTGGGTTCGCAAATGCGTTTGATTGCGATTGAGTCTGCACAAATGCGGACTAGGTGATATTAAAGCGTGCGTTTTACCCTCCAAGACAAGTTCACTTCTGAGTACATGGCACTTGGGGGATCATATGCTCAGATGGCCTGGGTGGGGATCGATCCCGAAAATCACTCACATACCGCGAACGTAGCTAGGTGAGCCAATTACTTCTATCCACGTGAGGTATTGTGCGCCTTGGCATTAATTTTTTTAAAAACCCTCAAAACTAAATCGATCTAGCGAGCGGAGAGTTGATCACGATCAAAATATGTAGACTGAATGTGACGGGGGCAATGCAGTGGCAATGCATTTGGAACCGCGTAAACATCTCCGTTTGGGCAAGGTAGGAAAGTCCAGACCCCAGGTAAGCGAGAAGTTTTCATTATCTCCGAAGTTCCTGTCCTTCCCTATGCTTAGTTCTGAGGGAAGCCCCCTTATCCTCGATGGCGCCTAGATTGAATTCATTCATAAAATCCCGTAGATAAGCTTGCTTCCACTTTTCGGAAAGACGCATGCGCTTTTCTCCCACCTTTCTGGCTCAAAAATGTTTGGGTCATTCCAAAAACAAAACTTCATGGAAAGAAAAGATATAATCGGTATAACATTTAAAAATATCCTAGTAGCCTTCACTCTGTTGGGCGGAAATGAGATTTTTGGACAGTTTTTCGAAAGAACGAAAGGGGTGAGAAAAGCTTGGGGTTGTTCACAATTGTGGCCTTTCCCTAGTTCTTGGTTGTCTGACATCTACGTGGCATTCCTCTTGCTAGGAAGGAGAACTTAGTATGATGTCGTGAATCATAAACCAGAAACTAGTGAGGTAAGTGGGAAAAGTTCAGATAACTACTAGTTGAGGCCATGTGTGGTTGGAAGGGCTGGCCTGATATACGCTACTGAAGTTGGAAAAAAGGTGCTACAAAAGGCACTACAGTGGATAGTACAATGAGGGAAAAAACTTAATAGACACTTTTTAAGCTAACATTAGGCCTGTTTGGCAGGGTTTGGACGAGTTCTCTTATTAGCAGTCGCTCCTTCCCCACCTTCCTCACTAAGTGCCGGGCTACTGGCAACGGAAGAGGCTATGCCTCGTCGAAGTGACGTCTGAGGCCACCATCGTCGAGCCAGATTCAAATGCCTTACCGACCACAAAGGAGGAGTGAACTCGTTGCGAGGCAAGAGTTAGCTTATCAATTACTCTATCAGCAAGGTCAATTTGACTTCAGTTTACTGTAAAGCCGGTGCTCATACAATAGGAAACTTTTTTTCAGGATTCTTTTCTTGCCGTAGTTCCTTTTCTTACAGCAGTTATTGTACTTCAGCACTGTTTTGTTGGCATTTGATGTGTGCGGGAAGTAGTGTTGTATCGAGACTCCGCTTTGCGGAAGGGGTCGTACCAAGACCCCCCAGTTTAGGGGGAGGGTCGTATCACAGATGGGTTTTCCTCGACACGATTTTCACCCTGCGAGCCAGGATTAACTTCGTATAGC